GGTCAATTGAAAAAAATTCAATGACCTCATCGGGACTTGAACCTGAGACCTTCTGGCTTTTAGCATAGTGCCGCATGCCCCCATAAAATCATAGCTGTGACCAAAACAATGTCGGCTTTATATTTTCCATTATCAATTAACAACTGGGACCACATACTACTTGGTAAAAAGGGCATAAGTAAAGAATCATTATCAAGGATATAAGTTCTCTGAAAGCAATGAGACTAAAATATCAAAAATTTAGGTAAGATGCTTGGAATTTTCATTTTACAAAAGCTGTATTTAAACCTTTAATAGCATTTGAAAGAGATAAAACTGGAATTGAAAATTTGTTACAAGACTCAGAAATGAAAAGATTACAGTGATTTGGTCATGCAGAGAACAATGGATAGAACGTAAATGGGCATTAAAATTAAAATTTAAAACTATACTGATAGGATGACTCAGAACAAGAGATCAGCCAGGCACTGGAAGATAACAAGAAGAGAGAATAGAGTTTGCAGGAAATCCAAAAGGAAATATTGTGAGTAAAAGAGACTGGAGACTGTTGTCTACCTAGAGGTAGGGTAAAGTTGGCCCTGTGCTTAGTTAATTACGCACAACGCCAAGAAGACGTACTGGGGAGTGGAGGCATAGCTCCACCATTCTTGACATCATCACTAGATGGAGATGTGGTCAGCTTCACCCCCCGGCCACTTTACCCCCAGGTACCCACAGGATAGGAAGCTTGGTGACCCCCAGAACCAGTATGGATGCTGTGGAGAAGAGAAAAATCTTTTGCCCTTGCTGGGAATTGAACCCTGGTCGTCCAGCCTGTTGCTGTACCAACTGAGTCATCCCAGCCAATTTTTGTCCATCTTCCATTTAAATCGCAAAAAATCCTAGGAAAAGAGGAAGACAGATATAGTATAACTCCATCATACTTTTTTTGCAATATACTTTGAAATCCTAAAATTCATTATACTCATATACAGGTATTTTGGGAACAGCACAAAAAACTGTATGACAGAATTATTATTACACACTGTCATGCAGAACATTAGCAATAATACTTACAGCTTTTTGCTGCTTTATTCTGTTCCACTGAATAGTCATAACGTGGACAGCCAATATTATATAATAAACAACATGCTAGTATAAATACTGTTAACATATTGGGAATTCTTTCTACCAGTATTGACCATCTTGGACCAGCTACACTGCCCCCAAGATTAAAAACAAAACATGAGCCCAATTCCGATGCTTCATAAAGGGTTGGGACATGCCAATCAAAAACAAAACAAAGGTTGAGAAACATCACTGCAGTGCTATGAATCCACGCCTCTATTTTTATGCTAAGGGTATTTACATGGGTTTTCTCCACTGTGTTAGTTTTCAGTATAAACACTGTAGTGTTTCAGAAATGGGGTTCTATTTAAGTTCTATGACAGAGAGGATATGAATAGGTTCGTAATCTGTTTGAGCCCTTTACAGAGCTGCACTGAGAAGAGGGAGAAATCAAATTACTACCCTCCAACGAAAAGAAGGTGAGCAAAGTGGCATGTAGCACTTGTGAACCTTGGTCTTTCTGTTGTATAGTTATGGACACATTGATCTTCAGTGTGCTAACAGCAGTGGCAAGAGTCATCTGAAAATTATGCTGATGTTTTCAGTTTGTGTGATATCTGTGGGTCTGGGTAACTGCTTGGCTTCCCTTTATTCAAAGACAGCACACAGTGATGCATCCCAGGAAATTGTAAGCTGGATGACTGCTATGATAACCTTCGATCTCAAATCATCCATCGATGTTTCCACCAGACTGAGTCAAACCGTGAGAATACCTTTTATATTCTTCTACCATAATGACTCTTCTATGTAGCAAAGAGAAAAACCTTTACCCACTCTGGGAGTCTGAACCACACAACAGTTAATCATTTCATTGTATGAACTGCCATGACTTATGGAAATAGGGGTTACTTTTACAAGACTGTCAAGAGGGGGTACTTACAATCATCAGATAAAATTCGGAACTGTACATAGTAACTGAAACATCCAGAACGTTTACCATGCAGCGTTGGTGTCAGATCCACACATAATTTACTGTCAGTGAACTTTGAGACATAGAGACCTGTGTAAAAATGACAGTTAATTCTGTATTAATTTTCAACATTTTTAAAATAGGGAATTTTATTACTTACAGTGTTTGTTGGTGGACCACATTTGATTAATATAGAATAAAGGTTTGCTGAATAAGAAATTTAAAAACATAACATATGAAAAGTGTTTGGGAAAGCAAATTTAACTGAGAATTTCTTGGTCAAACATGAATTTGCAATATCCTCATGGATAAGAATTACCATCTCAAATGCAATGATAGCAAAGATGTTGATCATGGCAATGATTGGTGATGATAGTGATGATGATTGCTGTTAATGTTATTACCACACTGAGAACAAGGAAATAAGTTCCATGGATGGTGGGGATGACAGCACTTGAGGGTTCCCTCTTTCTGACCAGTGCTATATTCTCCAGTTCTGTCTGCCCCATGTCAAACAGACCAAACGACTTGCTATTAGAGAAGATTATCATGTGATTAGCACTATCAGCATTTCTATGAATGGAACTGCTTCATGACTGGAGAAAAATATAGGGAAGTGTGGTGGACAGGTAAGTATAACAGCTTGAGGGAGATGTGAAAGGGGGTCAGCCAATGGGACTTCCTTTCAGTGGCCTGAGTATAGTAGCAGCAAGTGGCAGTATTAATGTTACTTGTAGTAGCTTTACAAGGATCATATATAACACACAAATTTTTTTATTTTAAAATTAAATGAGAATAGGCCATTTTATATAATTTAGTATACTTAGGGAAGTAATATTAAAATGGATCTCACAAAATAAAAGTGTGAAGATGTGAACCAGAGTTAACTAGTCCGGTACAGGGCCCATTTTCTTCTTATGTTATTTAATATCTTCAGTATATTGTAAAAGATGATGGGTTGACTAGTGAATTTGAAAGAGTTTGGTAGGAAGTAGTCATGGCCTAATTGAAGTACTACACCAATATTTGCTTGGAGTGACTGAGGAAAACCCACCAAAACTTCAGTCAAGATATCTAGTGTTCTGGTTGAGATTCGAACTGAGTACCTACTGAACAGAAGTCTAGACAAATGTTTGGTATACAGGGGCCAAGATGGGTTTTCGTTAATATAGCAATAAGCCAGCAGGACATATATGGACATGTTAGGAACATAGCAGAATGATTCTGACACGTTTACACCTTTCCTTTCATTAATTTTAAAACCTGAAAGACTTAGAGAAAGTGCATGGGGCATAAAACATGCGTCTCATTTTTCTCTACATCAATAGTTTCAAATTTTTTTATCTCATAAATATAGTATTTAGCAAGTATCATGTGAGGTAGGTTTTAGATGAATGCAGAAATCTGCGTAATCTCCATGTAAAGCATCCCTTACCGTGTAAGATTTGAGGCTTTCACCGCGGTGACTATGAAGAAAGCAGTCTTCTGGGATTTGGCACCGTGTATATGTGGTGTTAACCGACGTTTCGGAGGAACGTATCGCCCCCATCTTCAGGGTTGAAGAAAAAGTATAAGTAAATCTGCAAGCGACAACACCGTGAGACACGGTAAAGTCTGCTTTACCGTGTCTCACGGTGTTGTTGCTTGCAGATTTACTTATACTTTTTCTTCAACCCTGAAGATGGGGGCGATACGTTCCTCCGAAACGTCGGTTAACACCACATACACACGGTGCCAAATCCCAGAAGACTGCTTTCTTCATCCCTTACCGTTGTCGAATTTATACCAAAACTGGAATGTGTCAGAAAATTGTACTGTATCTCCCTGTGTTCAATTTCATCCATTTACTGTTCTCTGGTTGTTTCAATAAAAATGTATAGATGGACAGAGTGATTTTAATGAGTGCTCTACAGGAATGTGAACAGTTCTAAATAACAGAAAATTTCTTCATTAGATTAAATAAGTATGAAGTACCCAGAAGGATCCTCTGCCATGGAGCTAGTTGGTCAGTTAATTAGTCACCTACTATGTATCTGTATTTACTGTTTATTTGATGATACTGTCAGTAGCTCAGACTATACAATGTTGAATGGCAGGATGATCAGTGAATAATGAATTAGAAAGGATTTGGAAGGGAGCAGTAATGGCTTAATTTGAGGTGCTATCCCAATATTTGCCTGGAGGGGCTGGGAAAATATGAAAAGCCTCCGTCAGGATAAGCCATCTCCAGGCACAGATTTGAATCTTGGATTTCCCATACATGAAAGAGGAATGTTACTCTTTGATGGTCACTGTACATTTTTTTCTTCTTGGCACTACAGCCCCAGTGGGCCTAGGCCTACCTCCATGAACTTCTCCGTTCACTTCGGTTTTTCTAGATCTTACACACTCAGTAGGACTCCTTGGGCAGGTGTTCAGCTCGTCGCAAGGCCTCTACCTATACACAAACACAGAAAGACGCACACACACAAACTAAACATCCATGCCCTGAGTGGGATTCAAACCCATGATCCCGGTTTTCAAGCGAGTGAAGACAGTACATGCCTTAGACCACTCGGCTACCGTGACCGGCGGTCACTGTACATTACCCAGTCTTATATCATGAGCATCACTATGATAACCTCTTATGAGAATTTTCAAGAGTACCTGAGAATTTATAAAAACTCAATCTATTCTCTAGCTGGCTCCTTGTGACTGCACTGGATAACATCCGCTTCAGAAGCTGTTCCTCATCCTGTAGTCTCCTCACGTTTGCTTCCAGTTCCTCCATTTTTCTTTCAAGTTCATCAGTCTCTGGCAGCCCTGCACATTGAGGACAAACAAGAGGCATGTGACATTCTCAAATTTTTAAGATCAAATAAAAAAAAAAACCTTGATTTGAATGCCAATTTCTGAGTCCCAGACTTCAATATTTTTTCAGATAACTGCTTCTGCTTTGTGCAGTACAATGCAAAGTAGCAGATCCATCAGAATTGTAACGATACAAATCAACCTCTCAACAAAATCTCTCTCTCTTTCTACTAATGATTAAAAAGGATACGGACCAGGAACATTTCTTAAAAATATAACAATTTATAAAACTCTGTTATTTTAAAAAAAAAAAAAAAAAGGAAAGTAGATTATAAAAAGAATAACAATTCAGTATTTTATCAATTTTTACTCACAATTTTAAACATATTAATAATGTTTTTAATCTTAAAATTTATATAATGGTACGGTGAAGACCACTGACTACAGAACTGAGACGTAAAATAAGGTCTATTGCATTTATTACTTAAGATTTTTTTGTTCACAAGACAGAATCGGAAACACAGAAAACAAGAGCGGCGAGGTATTATGGCTATATGGAAGGAAATTGTATGGAAAAATCATCATAAAATGTGTTGCAGTGATCATCGCAAGGAAAACGAGGAAGAGGGAGACACAAATAAAAGTGTAAATAAATGTCAATTTTGTTGCGGAAAATCGAGGATTCGAAGTGGAGACTAGAAGAAGACACTTGTGTGAAAAATTAACAGATCTAACGAATAAAGCTGTAGTTTNAAACAGGATGTGAGATTGTTTTCACAGTGGTGACTATAAAGATTACTGTATTCTGAGACATTACGTTGTGTACTTAGATAGACAATTACTGACATTCAGAGGAATAGCTACCATTCAGTTATTCAGTATTCAATATAGAGGGGGTGGGTTTCCCCATGCACCGCGACTAATAGTCTATTGTACGTCTCTCTTTAATTTCTACCCTACCGATACCCTACCGATACTGGTGCCCGCTATCTCCCCTTTCTGCCAGCAAGGTCAGCCCTCTACTGGCAGTGGTACCCGATAATTCTCCCCTTTCTGCCAGCAAGGTCGGCCCTCTACTGGCATTGGTACCCTATAACTTCCCCATCTACCGGAGGCATTGGAAACTACTTGGGCGGGAAACATTTTGCCTAATTTTGCTCAGAGGTCTCCTAGAGACATAAGGATCTTTTACATGCCATAAATCTAAGACACGGGACCAACAGCTTAAAGTCCATCCCGGAGGACTTGTTCCCTGAATTTTTCCGCCCTTAAAAATTCCATGACCTCCGCCAGGTTTGAACCCGTGTACCTTGAGTCATGAGGTGGGAACGTTACCCTAGACTACGGAGGCCGCTCATTATCTACCATAGTATATAGCCTTGCATCTAAGAAGACAGCAATTTTCAGTGCAGTAGTACCTACATCAGTTCTACAGGCAAAACAATATAATTCTTGCACCCACAGCACAAAAGCAGATGTCAGCTGAGACAGATAAGAGAGGCGGACAGGCAAGTGTCTTGTCTACATCATGTTACAGTTCTGAAACGTCTTTCTGACAAAATATTTTTCACCAAACATGATACTGAACCTCTAATCCAACATAAATGCTGAGTTTACATTTTAAATAAAAATATAGCAGGTGGCTGAAGAACTGGTGTCCCTTTAGTCCACCACCAATTTCTCACAAAGCGTAATTAGTTAGTTAGTCATTAGAGAGGGTGGGTTTCCCCATGCACTTAGACCTGTAGTGGTCCATTGTGCTTCCCTCTATGATTTCTACCAGCCTCTATATCCTACCGGTATTGGTGCTTACCATCAGTCCCGCCCAGCCAGCGAGACCAGTTCTACTGGCTGAGAGGTATCTATACTACTTCCCCCATCTACCAGAGGTATTAGTGACTGCTGTTGGGTGGCAAACGTCCACAATTTTGCTCAGTGACCTCATTTGGAGGTATGAGGTTCTTTTACGTGCCGTAAAGATACGACATGGGACCCATGGCTTAAAGTCCCTCCCGGAGGAATTTGTTCCCTGAATTTTTCCGCCCTTAAAAATTCAACGACCTCTGCCGGGTATTTGAACCCGCGTACTACGAGTCATGAGGTGGGAACGTTACCTCTAGAGTACGGAGGCCGCTCAAAAAGCGTAATACTCATACATGCTTGAATGCTATGATGTGACTTTTTTAAAGCTTGATGCAAAGCGTAATATCCACACATGGATGGGGGCATGTGGTAACATAGTTGGTTGAGGCACTATGCTACAAGCGGGAAGAACACGGTTCGATTCCTGATGAGGTCATTGGACTTTTCAATCGACCTAATCCTTCCAGCCATAATGTGGCCCTGAGGTTGACACAGCCTCTAACAGAAACGAATACCAGTAATGTTCCCGGGAATAACAGGCGGATGGCACGTAAAGCTGACAGCCTAATCATCATCATCATCTGCGAGCTGATTGTCTAGAAAATATGGGAGCCTCAACATTTCACAATCCTATTGGCCTCCACAGGCTGTGACATGGGTAGCTTTACCTGCTTTTACCTTTTACCATATGTGGATGATAAAATACTGTTTCTCAGTAATAAAATAACAAACTTTCAGCAAGCCCAGACTTAGGAATAAGACAAATGGAAGATAATTTGTGATCAGCTAAATAACCTCTCTACAACTCAAGGCTGAATGTGTTCCACTTCCGTACCTTCACCTGACTGTTCCTCTGCAGAGTCTGCACCATTTGACTGCTCCTGTTGAAAAAAAAGCGTAAGGGTAAGACATCAACTTTAAATGAAAGACTTCTATTCATACCGAAAAGCTAGCAGGAATTATAAATATATAACATTTAGTTATGTCATTCAGTGCTTAAAACTGTTCATATAAATGCATGGAAGTTTTCAAATATAGCTTCAAAATGTTGCTCTGTTGCCATATTTGTGACTTTAAACTTAGGAAATTTCAACACAAAATATGTCATCACATTTATGGTCTATCTCCTTACAATTCTTCACACTCCTACTTTGAAGTTAGCTTAACAAAACTTAGATATTAAAATTTTCTAAATTTTATACTAAATGACACTAATTTTATTCCAACCTCAGATATCTGGATAATCTTTATATTTGAATATAATGCTGTATTGAGCTCTGCTTGCTATGTGCTTCACACTGCTCTCTTGGGTTGCTTATTCTTTGGCCATGAAGATGGAAGTGACATGTTCCTCTGACATTCTGGTTGACTTTCAAATGAACACATGCCGTTTTATCCCACAAGTTAGAAAGCTACAAATACTTTCTTTGTTTGAAATCTCTACGCCCTGTAGCTAAATTATGACACAGTTATGCTGGACACTGAACAAAATATGAGACAAAAATATTTAACTTAAACATGCCGTAATGAATCAAGCAATCAAAAACATTACAGAAGAGATGGCTGAGAGATTAGCACTCCTATTTCTTATTCAGGAGGTCCCATGTTCAAATGTCATCCCAGAGATGAGATCTTTGTAGCCTGGACAGCATCAGCAAATAAAAGAAATAAAACAGAATCAAACATTATGACTGTGATGATTGCAGCAGCAGTAGTGTTTCAGACAGGTATGTGGGAGATGCTTGTCTTTAATCTCCCGGGATTCTTTGGTGATTTTCCTCAGTGTCTACAGGAAAATGCCTGTACAGTATCTACAACAGGACTCTTATCACTTCCTTCCTGATCTCTGTCTGCCCCTGCCATTCATGATTATGTTCACATCTACAGTGACACTACATAACCTCTATCACCGAAACAGAATCTTTAAATAGCCTAAGAATCATCTGATTGTCATAGAAGATCTTCGGAGAGCAGCTTCTCCATATCATGCTAGAATATTATTATTCTTTTTTAAACGACCAGGATTGGTGCCTTTAACTTAAATTAAAATTAAATCTGCTTAGTGGGGGGGAGGGGTCCAGCTGGGTCCACTCGGCACAACGGTCACTGACTGGCCTATTGTACCTGCCCTGGGTGATTATGATGATGGAGAATTTGGTGGAATGAAGATTGGCAGGGGAAGCAGAAGTACTTGGAGAAAACCCGCCCCAGCGCCACTTTGTCCACCACAAATCCCACTTGACCAGACCCTGGGCCGCCGAGGTGGGAAGCCAGTGACTGACCGCTTGAGCTATGGCACGGCCTCTGTGCCTTTATATTACAAATCTTCCTGAAGGATTATCATTATAAACTGACTCACAGAGAGCTGTTTATGATTCACTTACATCTGCTCTTCTTCTTCTCCTTACTTCTGCACTCAGGTCTTCATTATTCATTTGAAAGGCTTCTAGAGAGTCTGAGAAAGATTTGTCTGTTCCATCTGTATCTTTATCAGTAGTATCATTGTCAGAATCTTCCATCTACAAAAGAAGAAGAGACAATGGATATACTTTCAACCGTTTTACATTTTTTGTATTTATTTGGATTTTCAACCACAGGCAAACAACAGAAGTACTTTTCGGGAATGTGAAATGCATCGAACTAACATTGGATAGGGTATAATGGAAAGTTTAATGATCGGATACGTGCACTCCAGGCTGGAGTACATATAGTTTCCACATGCATTCTTTGCACCCTGGCATTCTCAATGCTCCCACCTGTTCATGACAGCTTTGATGTACATGTTAACAAAATTTATCACAACTTTGTTAATGATTGTTGCTTTGATTAGCCCTTAACTGCTGGGTTATTTAAATGGTCTAATGGTGGATTTGGCCAGGATTTAAATGCCCAGTGCTGTAAAGCATTTAAATAATTTTAATATGGTTACTGTACTTTAGAAGTGGCAGTAGTGTTGCTCCCACCTTACCAATTTCGGTATCTATTGTGCTATTATTATTAATGATTGTAGAAAATTGAACTGTAGAAATTTGGGGTGGCCTGTAATGGCATAACATTCATATAAAAATGTCATCAAAATCCTCCCAGCTGTTATTGACTGGAAATACGTAGGTAAGTCAATAAGTAAGTTACAAATGGATATAGAACTTAAACAAATAAGAGTACTGATTTTAAAAATGCTTTTATTTCCCAACATAATCTCCCTGTACATTGAGGCGCTTGTCCCATCATTTCACAAGCCCTTGAAAACCAGCAGCATAAAATTCTTCGGGCTGCTGTCAGAACCAGGCGTGTTCACATGGCATGGCCTACCTCATAATGCATGACAGGTTAGGTTTTCACAAAGTCTGTGCACGATGGGTGCCGCGCATGCTGACCCCACAACACAAAATGCAAAGAATGGGTCTGGCATTACAGCATCTCAATCGATACCATGAAGGACATGATATGCTAGCCCAAATTGTCACGGGTGATAAGTCTTGGGTTCACCATTACCAGCCTGAGACAAAGCATGCGTCAATGCAGTGGAAACTTCCTGCATCGCCTGCCAAAAAAAGTTTAAGGTGACACCATCCTCCCTCCAGGAAAGTGATGCTGTAGAAAGGGAAGTCACTGCCTGATTCCGACAGCAGTCCAAAGAACTTTATGCTGCTGGTTTTCAAGGGCTTGTCAAACGATGGGACAAGTGCCTCAGTGTAGAGGGAGATTATGTTGAGAAATAAAAGAATTCTTCAAATCAGTACTCTTATTTGTTTAAGTTCTATATCCATTTGTAACTTACTTATTGACTTACCCTCATATGAGGACAGATCGACATGACCTTCCTTATCAGTCTCATGGGTTCCCATTTTGAATCACTGGAAGATATTTTCTCTTGATAGTAAACATAAAAGATGGTTCCACATTATAGCAACCAAAAACTGAACTTATTTAGCAAGAATTCACATCACTTCATTACCAAACTTTTCACAGAAGTTATATATTATTTTTACTTAGTCCAAAGATATATAAAATATAAATTAAATCAAACCTGTCGCCGATTTAGATTTTTTAGATAACGACAACTTATTTTAACTCCACCAACACAGCTGCAACTATCAATTTGAGTAGTGTAATTAGTCAGAAATAAGAAAGTGCATAAATGGTCACTTAAGTCGTAAACGTATGACACTATTAGTTACACATCTGTTATTAAGACATTACTTCGTTAAGAGTGTGACACAATACAATGGAATGTCCTATTCTGAAAAATAATATATATCACTCGAATCTAACCTGGCTGACTAACCTTCCCACACCACTTCATCAATTCGATATGATCATACAAAATAGATTTAGGGCTCTTAAATATACATTACATCAACACCTACTTTTATCTCTACAGTTATTATAGCTTTTCTGACGATGCAGAAACCAATTTTAAATCTGTCAGTTGCAGAAATGCCGTTAACTTATTCCCGCTCATATTCGGTCTCAAATCAGCCGCCATGACTTTCTTTGTCGGCAGCCGATAAACACATGAATGACACTATGAAAATAAAAAGCCCTAGGTGAGTATCACGTGTACCAACTATGCATGATTTGAAGCTTTCATGGAAAGAGTACAGAGCGTAGTTTCATTACAAGTATCGGTCGTGTCAATGTGGCATTAGAGTGCCGCCCGGAAAGGTTTAGTTTTACTAAATAATGTCCGGTCGGTCCCGTTTTCATTCTTTTTTAATTCGCGTAGTGGGGGCAGGGTTCCAGCAGAGTCCACTGATTGGTCTATTGTACCTGCCCCGGTTGATTATGATGATGGAGAATTTGATGGAATGAATATTGGCAGGGGAAACCGAAGTACTTGGAGAAAACCCGCCCCAATGCCACTTTGTCTACCACAAATCCCACTTGACCAGACCCGGGATCGAACGCGGGCCGCCGCGGTGGGAAGCCAGCGACTAACCTCTTGAGCTATGGCGTGGCCGGTCGGTCCCGTTAGTGTAATAAAACCATGTGACTGTCACACATAAAATAGATCTTAGAAAGATAGTCTGGGTTCGATTGGACTGATCTAGCTCAGGATAGGGACCAGTGGAGGGTTCTTGTGAACATGGTAATGAACCTTCGGGTTCCATAAAGTACTGGGAAGTTCTAGTGTAGCTGCCCAATTGGTGGCTTCTCAGGAAGGGCTCAGCTCCATGAGAGAGCGACTGCCGCACAGCGCGTTTGACACATTCAGTGCTACAATAGCATCTCAACATGCCTGGGTTCAATAGTAATACGGAACACTAACAAGATTACTATCACTAGAACATACTAGGAGTCATATGTGTCCGCTCTGCTGAAACGTCTGCTCATCACCCTCAAAGGAGGCAGCTTTAGTAAGATCGCTGACGTAGGAACTGAATACCTGCATATTACTTGTTGACAATATCCGTGTTCAAAATTTCAGAACCTACGTGATTAATTCAAGATGGGATACATTTTGCTGCAGCTATCAAACCACCTCGATGTATTGTGTCCGATGCTGCACTACCAGAGCCCTACCTGAACACACAGATACTGCAATGTGTAGCGACTGAAGAAACTTTTCTTTCCCCCTAAATCAGTTGTACCAAATTACGATGTAGAGACATGTGAACAAAAGGCCCCTATAGGTAAAGGTAAAGTTGTCCCTCTGCTTAACGAATTAAGCACTACGTATGGGGCAATGCATGTAGAGCCGCATTTTTTCTTGACCTCGGCACTAGTTGGAGGTGAGTGGTAAGCTTCAAGCCTCTGCCATTTTACCCCCCACGGAAACAGCCCATGTACCCATCCGATATAAGGTTGGGTGAACCCCAGGGCCAGTGTGGACAATGTAGAAAATTCTTGACCCTACTAGACTCGAACTCTGACCCCTCAGTGGTTGAGCCAGTAGCCAGTTGCTATACCAAATCCCGGCTTCTAAAGGCCCCTATAGGCCTAAATTATTTTTTAATCTACTGACAAATTATCCCAAGCAATAACATAAACAAAATTCATTGAATTTATTTACATTCTATAAATCCTAAGCAGGTTAGTACCTTTGGATACAGAACAAGTCAAAAGGTTACATTCATAAGTACAGGCAATTTTAGCTTAAAAATTAATATAACTTAATTTTACATCATTCTCTATTTACATTGAAGTATTCATCTAAAGAGTAGAAGGAATAAGCATGTAGATAATTCTTTAACCCTGATTTAAACTTTTTAGTATCATTGCCCAAGTTTTTAATACTTTGTGGCAGACTGTTGAACACTTTTATGTCAGTAAAGTAGACTCCTTTTTGATATACTGATAAAGTTGATGAGGGTAGGTGGAAGTTATATTTTTGTCTAGTATATTTATTGTCTGTTTATTGCTTGCCTTTACTTACTGCATGGTAGTGCCAGTTGACACATCTGTGCACACAGTTGCATTTAATCAGGTTAGGTTATGCCGAAACATCTGTGTGCATATAAGTCTACACTTGAGGACAATTCTTCATGACCATACCAGCGCATTTATTACAAATTTTTATCTAACCCACTAACACAGGTTTTAGGATACTGAGGTGAAAACTGGGATATAAAAAGAGGAAAAGTTGAATGGAAAATATAACAAAACAATTTCAAAACTCGTACTCTTCATGTAATATTACTGTTACTGAGGCACTTCCAGCAACATTCAGTCCTCATAACCCCTTCCTCCCATGACTCATCTTAATGTTATCCTCCAGTCACCTCAGTCTACCAAGTGGACATTTTTGACACAAATTCTTAATGTATTACAAATTGAATATTGCTGGCACAGTCACTTGTAAAAACATAAAGTCAAAGACCTGTGTTCTTTCTTTTCTCCATTTTTCATAACTTTACTTCAGATCTTTATTTGTAAAAAAGAAATTAACCTGTGAAGATGACTTACAAATTGGTGTAATTAAGAAAAATTTTTTAATGCACTTAAGTATTTTGAAAGATCAGCAAAATATACTTCAGACTGAATATGACCTTAACATTAATTTTCTTTTCAGTAGAAACTATCAACTCGATCTTTGGGGTTGAAAACTAAACAAAGCAAGAAACATGATGGTGACAAGCTAAGCAGGTTATTTCTGTGAGGTTGTCTCCAAATGTACCCTTCACAGTCACTACTGTGAGGGCCTTAAATCTATCAAAAGATGGTGCTGCTGTTCATATTCAGAAATGGATGTCATATTGGCATAACAGACCTAAAGAACTGTTAATTTCATTTATAATTTGAATCATATATAAACAGTAGTTTATATGTTTTCACACCGTTAGCCCGCTGAAGACACCAAGATTCCTTTGGAATTTTCTATCCCGAAGGAGGCAGTGGCTACCCTTGAAATGTCGATAAATGTCATCATATCCCAGAAGACAATAATTGTTATCAGTTATCACTGTGAGATGCTCAAATTAGACACACATTCTGGCCTTAAAGATCTTCATGTCTAGAAATTTTGTGACTGCATGTCAAGTTTTCTTCCTATTAGATGTAATTCATCATTTTGTTTGCTGAGCCAGTAATCTTCTATCTAATGCAGATGTCNTGCTCCACAATCACCCTCATCTATCATCTGCGGCTCGTACAATAGGCCAGAAGTGGTCACAGTACAAGAGACTTAGTCCCACCCCACTAGCAAAATTTACGTGCACATGCACATGTCATACATCAAGCAGGTTATAAGAGAAGGTAACAAGGAAATATATTTCACTGGCAACTTTATTTCCACTTACAAAAGCCTATCATTTTCTCTATATACAATCATACATAATAATGTAGTATTCTGTGCTGTGACACTGTGTAATCTTGCAGGCAGACACCAACAGTTTGGAGGAATGTGCTGCTTCCATCTTCAGGGTTGAGGTACGGTCTTCTCAGTCTGTTACAGTCTTCACTAGCTGTTGCTTGGTAGTGGCTTCCAATGGGTCATGATCCACTTCCTCTGGGTTCCCTAACTGTCCCTAGCCTACCAGCTTCTCGTAGCAACAGCTCACAACTGAACCCCAGCAGTTATTTAACTGCAACACCTAACTTATCCTGTTTATAATATGTCGGCATGGACTACACAGAAAACACTGTTCCTGTGTTGCTGCCTAGTAACAGCCATTGTATAGTTGCTTATTTTTCGGCCATTGCCTAGCAAAGGGTCTACATGCCACAATATTGACAGGCTGCAATGAAGGTGGCCACTGAGACTCATGGGAGATGGTAAGGAAATGGGGTTAATCATGGCTGATGGAAATAGTAAGTAGGAAAATGGCATTTTTCAGGGACACAATTGTTTTTCAACAAAGGAAGATGGGTGGAACTGTGAGAAAAGAGGGCCCCCTGTCCTATGGATTTCAAAATGATTTCTGATTACAATACTGCACAGTCTTAATCCAGAACATCACAATCCAAATAATCACTGCCTTCAAAATTTCAAAACTTATGTCACCATAACATATACACATAAGGGCTTTGAACAGCCTTGTCATCAGAAGCATTCAAGTCTATGGAAGGCAGACAGACATGATCATACAATAATAATGGTTTTTTAATATAAATGTTAGGTTGTGCCTGCCCTTAACTAATTAAGCACTACACCATGCAGGTGTATGGACGAGTGCATGCATAGACCCGTTTTCTTGACCTTGGCACTAATTGGAGGTGATTGGTCAGCTTCATGACCTGGCGGCTTTACCCCTGGGGGAAAAAGTCCCCAGTACCATTGGTAAGGAAGCTGGGTGGGCCCAGAACCAGTCTTGAATATGTGGAGAAGAGAAAATCCTTGATCCTACTAGGACTCAAAATTCTGACCCCTGACATCCAGCCTGTAGCCAGTCACTACAACAAGTGCATTATCCTGGCTCTCATGGTTTCAATAAGGGTATTTAATTTAGCTAACAAAAATACAGTAAAATCTCCCCACATACTCAAAATTAAGAGATCCATTTGGACACCTTTATGCGGAAGATCTTTACAAGGTTCTGCCTTTATATTTCATCTTAGCTAGCACCTACTGCCTGCCACACGGAGGTTTTGGAGAAATGTGAGTATTCTTCCACCATTTAAAGGAAGATGAAGACAGTATGTTCCTCCAAAATTATGGCACCCATCTACCAGACTACACGATCTCATTACACAAAAGAATTTAACATCAACATTCAGTGCCACGAAAACTTGAAAGCTGAAGTTTTTTTGACAATACCTGTGATTTCTAGGAGCCCGGACAGCATAGTCAGTATAGCGACTGGCTACAGGCTGGACAAGTGAAAAATCAGAGTTCGAGTCGTGATAGGGTAAAGAATTTTCTCTTCTCTACGTTGTCCAGACCGGCTCTGGTGTCCACCCAACTTCCTATCCAATGGGTACTGGGTGCTCTTCACCCAGGGGTAAAGTGGCTGGGGCGTGAAGCTGACCATTCACCTCAAGCTAGTGCTGAGGTCAAGAAAATGTGGAACTACACATCCACTTACATACGACTTCATGGCGTAGTGTTT